GGCCTCTTCCCACTAGATGCTGATAGCAGCCTCCCCAATCTTTAGACATTGCCAAATGTTCCTTGGGGACATAACACCTCTGGATGAGAACCACTGTTTTAATGTCTGTAGAATCTTTAGTGATCTTTCATTCCAGATACTGGTACTTTGTCTCTTTATTATTATTTTTTAAAATATATTTTATTGATTTTCCACAGAGAGGCAGGGAGAGAGATAGAGAGCCAGAAACATCGATCAGCTGCCTCCTGCACATCTCCCACTGGGGATGCGCCCGCAACCAAGGCACATGCCCCTGACCGGAATCGAACCTGGGACCCCTCAGTCCACAGGCCGATGCTCCATCCACTGAGCCAAACCGGTTTCGGCTGTCTCTTTATTTTTAAATTAGTTTTGTTAAGAGCTTTGTAGGGTAAACAAAAGCAGGCTATGCCTCAGATGTGGCCCATGGATCATTTTGCTGACTTTGACTTAGATCATTGATTAACTCTTCTTTTCTTTTTTTAAAAAATATATTTTTTTGATTTCAGAGAGGAAGGAAGAGGCAGAGAGAGAGAGAGATAGAAATGTCAATGAGAGAGAATCATTGATTGGCTGCCTCCTGCATGCCCCACACTGGGGATTGAACCCACAACCCAGGCATGTGCCCTAACTGGGAATTGAACCATGACCTCCAGGTTCTTAGGTCTACACTCAACCACTGAGCCATGCCAGCCTGGCAACTCTTCTTTTCTAATAAAGGAATGAAAAAGCTATAAATTCTCCTCTAAGAATACTTTATCTGTTTTGGCGAGCCGGCACGGCCATGGCATACTCAGCCCCAGGGCGCCTTATGTGCCATGCCAGCTCAGCCCGGTTCAGTGACCCTGAGTAGGGGTGGTGAAAGGCTTAGAAAAGACAGACAAGGGAATGAAAGCTGGGTCTCGGTGGGACACTGCCCCTCTGATGGACAGCGCCGACGCTCACAAGCCGTGTCTTTATTTTATAGTAGATGCCACGAGGCAAAGTAAGGGCGTGATCGAGATGTTTACAACATTCTCGTGGGTTTCACTCCTACTCAACTACATGCACCTGAACTCTATCAAGCCCACATCATTCAGGCACGTGAGGCCACATGTTAGGACCATAGGTTCAAGCTTACAACTATAGCTGTTGGCTATAATTGTGCTGGGAGGGCTCTGCCCTCCAAGCTGGGACTTGCACGTGACAATGAGAGGACTGTGCCCTCTCATCAGTCCAAAGCTTGAACCTATCCGAAACACTGTAGCCACGCCCCACAATTTGTATCCCATAAATTTTGAAATGTTGTGTGTTAATGGATATTAACCAATGAATGGCTATAAAGAGTATTGTTTATCTATGAAGATAACAAATGAGCATTTTTTTCATAACAAACAGAATTGCTTACAAATGGATTTTTGGTTCTGTGAGAGGCAAGCAATGAAGAACAATATTAATATAACTATGTAATAAAATGTAGTCACATAAATACACTCTCCCAACTAGTTGATAAATTGGTATACATTCCTACAATCTGGCAGCAGTATTCTTTTTGCTCTTCTAGCTAAGAAAAGTCACAATCTATCACCTGCAGAACATTTACCAGGACACAAAAATTACAAGTTCACTGCACCTTATGGAGTATTGGTTTGCTGCCACCTGCTGGGAGGCAGAAATGGGTTTCTAGCCTCCTTAAAGGGCAAGAATGATGACCTTAGAAGTTGTAAAACTTTGCCCATCCCATGAAACAAAACATAATATAGGTACCTTTGGGCCTTGAAGAAGTCAATATTAAATATGTGTTAACTGATTGTTTATGTTACCAGGAAGGCTTCTGGTCAACAGGGGGCTATTAGTAGTTAGGTTTTGGGGGAGTCAAAAGTTACACTGGGATTTTTGACTGTGCAGGGGCCTTAAGGGCCAACTGTATTATTCACGCAGAACCACAATTAAAATAGCACCATATTTTCTCTCTACATACACACTTTTTTTTGACTATCTGAAAGCAGTCTGCAAGTATCATGACTTTACCCCTGAACACTTGAGCATACATCTCCTAAGAACAAAAGCTAATAACCACAATATCATTATCATATCTGAGAAATGTAAGTCATCAATATATCTATTATGCTTTTATGTTCAAATTTTCCCAATTGTCCGTAGATTGTCCTGCAAAATTCATAATCCTATACAGTTCACACTTGGCTTAATGGAGATGAGTGCTATCTTTTCGTGTTGTCTTCCATGATATTGACATTATTGGAAAATCCAAACAAATCACATTCTAAATTTCTCTGAGTGCCCTGGCCTGTGTGGCTCATTTGGTTGGGCGTGGTCCAGCACACCCAAAAAGTTGCTGGTTTTATTCCCAGTCAAGGGCTTGATCCCCAGTGGGGGATGTGCAAACTGATAAATGTTTTGCTCCACACTGTTTTTCTCTTTTTCCTTTCCTCTCTTTCTAAACTCAATTTTAAAAATCTTTTAAATAAATTAATTTATCTGAGTGTTTCCTTACAGACTAAATGTTTTTGGCAAGAATGCTACATAGGTTTACTTCCAATAACCTCACAGCAACAGGTTTGTGTTTTTCCCATTATTGATGCTAGAAAAATTTCCCGAGACACTTATTAACATTTTGCAAAGGACTACTGTTCTGTGAAACATAGTTTAGGGAACACCTGTACAACAAAAAAAGGTGAAATGCACTGAAGTGTTTAAGAGTTTGTAGACTAAAAAGCAAGTAATGATTAAAAATCAAACTGAGCTTTCACAAAATTTAACTTACAAACACACACACACACACACACACACACACACACACACACGCCAACAACCCAATTGTACAGATAAGCAATCCCAACTTAAGGAAATTAACTAACTTCTCCCAAATTCTATACTTATTGTATTTCCTGTGTTCAGGAGCTGAGATTTGAAAGCAGGTGTGATTGCTTCCATGTTCTTTCCACTAGACCCTCTCCTTCATTTGGACTTGTCTAATTTTTTACAATTGACTATTTTTTAAAATGTTTTTATTGATTTTTTAAAGAGAGGGCACACCCCCCAACTGGGGAGGAGCCCACAACTGGGCATGTGGCCTGATGGGAATCCAACCAGTGACCTCTTGGTTCATGGGTCCACACTCAACCACTGCGCCCCACCGGGCACAATGGACTATTCTTGGCTCTACTATTACTCTGGGGTAAAAGTGGTGGTCTTTTATTTATTTTTAATATATTTTATTGATTTTTTACAGAGAGGAAGGGAGAGGGATAGAGAGTCAGAAACATCCATGAGAGAGAAACATCGATTCAGCTGCCTCCTGAACGCCCCCCACTGGGGATGTGCCCACAACCAAGGTACATGCCTTTGACCGGAATCGAGCCCGGGACCCTTCAGTCTGCAGGCCGACGCTTTATCTACTGAGCCAAACCGTGGTGGTCTTTTAATCGAAATAATAATGAAGACACTAAGAAACCGTTTTATTGTTCTATATTCAATAAGAATCAACCTATGTCAAGTAGCTGACGAAGGCCTAACTCCTCACAAATGTATGCAACTATGCAAATCGTATGTGAAGACTGGGGTCTCAGATGCAGATACTAATTATAACAGAGCCCCCGCTTATGACCTGTTCTATTGGCCATAACTTGATCCTTGCTATTGCCCATCGATGCCGTCATGGTTACATTACATCAAACATTCTGGAGACATCAGTTTTCCTTAAAAATCCCAGAACTCAGGTAAAACTCAGGTTTTACGACTTATTACGTAACCGAATAAGTTTTCAAAATATTCGTTACCATTCTGCCCCCCGCCGGGAGGTAGCAAATATTTAAGTATGTTCGTTTTCATCTCCATCTCAGGCGAGAGCCTTTCCCCCCAGATGACTTTCCGAAGGAGGTGAGCGCGGGTCCTTGCTTTTGGTGCAAGTTCAGAAATTTAATCTATACGAATGGGGGACTTTTAAAAGAAAAAACGGAGAGGCCTTCCACTTTTAGAAACCACGCCAGGGTTAAAAATTTTGCGTTATATTTCGGCGGCACGTTGAGTATTTTTTGCAGCAGGCTGGAAATTGCTTTGCGGAGTCTGTCTCCTTAATCTCATCAGCTTGTCCAACGTCCCATGTCTCGCCCTCGACCCCAAACGTTCAGATTCTCGGGAGCGGAAGGAGGAGGTCTGCGGGCGCGGAGCCCGGGCTGGACTCCGGCTCGGTCTCCCCGGCATCGCAAAGCGCCACGGCCCGGGGGTGGGGGTGAACGTGCCCCTCGAGCCCCGCAGGAGAGAGATCCATCTGCACTTGCCGAAAAGCGAAAGCCACCCGAAAGGCCGTGCGCCGCCTCCCCCGCTCCACTTAGCGACAACTTCCCGGCGCCCGCCACAGCCCCGCGGCCGTCACGTTACACGTCCCCGCCACGCGCCGGAAATCCCGCGGCCACGTCCGCCGGGACCTGGCCACGCCCCGAGCTGCCACTTCGGCTCCCAGGCGCCCGCAGTGGGCGCTGCGCTTGCTCTCCGCGAAGAGCCGCGAGGCGTGCCGCGGGGCGGGAGAGGGGCAAAGCCGTCGGAGGAAAGGGGGCGGGGCCCGAGGCCGGGGGCCTGCCCTGGCCTTGGTGGGTGAGTATGGGGCGGGGGTTGTGCGCGCCCGGAGCCGGTCTGCCGGGGGTGCCCAGTCGACTTCGGGGGCGCCCCCTGGAGGATCTGGGGTGGGGGAAGGAAGAGAAGAATATCGCATGGGGTGTGCGGGATGTGTGGACGGGCAGGCGTCGGCAAGATGGGCGCAAAGGGAGGGTTCCCTGTTTGTTTCTCCTTAAGAAGGACACGCTCTGAGAACAGGGTGCAAGTGCATCACCTGGGGCAGGTTTGTGAGCTCACCGTGGTGCACAGTAGGGCTCGCCCCTTGCCGCTGCCAAAGCCGGCGAATGGTTCACCGGTGCATGGGCCCCTGAAAAGCACGGTAGTCCAGTGTAGCTACTACCAGAGGTAAAATTAAAACGCATCTTGTATGAAGGGAAATCCGGCATAGAACAGGGTTTAAACAGCTCCTAGGTCTGTCAAATACTGTGCCCGGGCCCGGGCCAAGCCTCTTCCAGCAAGCATACTGTATGCAGATAATTGGCATTTCTCATTAGAGATTGAAAGACAACCTGTGCCAAATGATATTTCTTTAAAACCTTTCTTAAGCGGTGTGCCCTAGTACACGTCCTTTTCGAAAACAAAATTCAAGAAAGGCTATTATATCTTTTCCAAGTTGATAGAAAACCAAACGTTTCCTGGAGGTCTGTGCAGGTTCTAAATCATTTTGGGGTCGTACAGGATGCCCAGAATATTCTTCTATGTAGTAAGCACTTCACATCATTTTTTTGTTCAACGCGATAAGAATTAAAAAGAAAAACAAACAGTTCAGTTCTTTGAAGGCTTGTATTCTACTAGAGACAAAATAAACATGTGAAAAGTTACATGACCATAAGAGAAGGTAGTCATGGTTTGAGATATTCAAAGTTGTCTGAAGAAAACCTATGCCTGCCTTGGAAAGTGGTGGTGAGTGCTTGAATCATTTGCCTCTCAGCTGATTGTTGCCATGTGGGAACAATCCCCAACACAGGCGGAAAGTATATTATTTCTATGTAATTAAAAATTTTAAAAAATGTTATTGGCAATCAATTTACTCACACCCCCTCTATGAGCCAGGAACAGTCAGTTTGTGACTTCTGCGATTATCACCAGAGTCTTCAGAAATAATTGGTACTGAAAGAGGAAAAAATTCCTGGAAACAGATGATCAGGTGAGGATTTAAGAAAACAGTGGGATTTAAGCTGGGTCAGACAGGAGAGGTGTCTTAGAGGGGGGAGGACATAAAAGGTGAGTAAAATCTCAGTTGGGAAAGTCAGTAGAGATAATGAGTAAACTTTCCTTGGAATAGGTCTGAGAAAGCAAGTACAGTAACGAAGAAAACTGGTTTGGGCAACTCTACAGGGCCAGGCTGGACTTTATTCCAGGTCAGTGGTTCTCACATTTGAACATACATCAGAATCATCTGGAAGGCTTATGAAAAGAGATTGCTGGCCCCCACCTGGAGAATTTCTGATTGAGAAGGTCTGGGGTGGGGCCTGAGAATTTCCCTTTCTCATCAGTTCTCAGTTGGTGCAGATGCTACTGGTCTGGGACCACACTTTTAGAATCACTGTCCTAGGGTGTGGGGAGCTGCTGGAGGAATTTGATGTGGATAAGATCAATCACATTCATGGTTCAATATGAATCTTACTGTGAAGCCCAACACAGGAGACTGGAGACAGAGAGAGAGAGAGAGAGAGAGAGAGAGAGAGAGAGAGAAGGAGAAGGTTCCTTACAGTTAATTAGCACCTGTTTGCTGCCAGGCCCTCCGCCAAGCTCGCATGCACACTATTTCATGTGATACTCACTGTGACCTTGATGTGTTGGTCTTAATATTTTCATGTGGAGAGTGGTAGAGGTTGCCCAGGTCTCATAGCGAGGCTAATCTAGGAGCTCCCTAAGACTAGTTCAGATTTGGACTAAGGTAGTAGCAGTAGAAACGAAAACATTGAATGGTGATGGAATTTAGAAAAATAGAGACTTCCCAAGTAGATTGAAACCTAAAAGTAAAAATTGGGAAAAGTGGTAAAGGTAAAGTGGACAGGGAACTTGAGAATGTTCCTTGCATGAATTCAGTGTGTGTTCTGTGTTACTCTTATATAACCATGACCTATTTAAAAGTTGCTTGTTTAAAAAGTCATCCTGCTCTACCAAAATTTCCTGAAATTATTTGGAAAGGAGAAAGTAAAGCCTTCTTTGAGCCTTCTTTGGGGGTGGTGGGAGTTGCTGAATAGATTAATGCACCTGACGGCTTATCTTCAAATCAAAAGTGATTAGCATTGAGAAATGGAAACACATGGTATAACACTGCATTGACTGTGTGAACTGTGCTGTGCCTCGGACACTGACCTAATGTATTGGTTTTGGAAATCCTGTATGCTCTTACTTGCCAGAGTAGTTATTGAAATTGAAAATATTCATTGGATCAATTTCAAGACAAATATCCCAAGTCAGACTGGCTGCTGCTGAGCAAATTTTTAATGAAGGAAAATATCCATATATTGAAGCCAGACTTTAACAAGAAAGTTCTTAGAATAAATATATATTTACTTTAAAATCTAGACAAAGTGTATGTATTCAGACATCGATTGACTGAATAATTAACATAATGGAATTATTGGGACCCATACAAAATTATAGCATACATTCATTCATTTATTCAGTGAGCAATAAAGTTTGATGTGGAGACAAAGATAACTCATAGTCTAGGCAAGACTGATTTTAAAAAATGATCACAAAACAGTGTGATCATTGCTATACTGGAGGGATGTGACCGGTCCGGTGGTGACAGGAGTGACAACTGAAGGGGTGCAGAAAGGAGCCCAGGGAACTGTTATAGATCAGTGCTAGTATGGAAGGTGAGTTAATAATGGCTGTAGAGATGGCTGTAGTAGGTTGGGGTTTTTCATTAAGGTTGTGCCCATTGGTAGGTTGCAATCTACATTTAAAAAGTAGAGTAGAGCCCTAACCGGTTTGGCTCAGTGGATAGAGCATCGGCCTGAGGACTCAAGGGTCCCAGGCTTGATTCCCGTCAAGGGCATGTACCTTGGTTGCAGGCACATACCCAGTGGGGAGTGTGCAGGAGGCAGCTGGTCGATTTTTCTCTCTCATCCATGTTTCTGACTCTATCCCTCTCCCTTCCTCTCTGTAAAAAATCAATAAAATATATTTTTTTTAAAAAAAGAGTAGAAAAAAGACAAGGTGTGTCACATGTAATAGGGGTATGTGATGTTTGTGAAACTTGTTTCAGTTATATGACTCTCTGTTGACTGATGAGTGTATTTCTCGCTATGGACTGTGGTCAAAGTTTAAAAGCCATTATAGTAGAGAAATGTGGGAATGAGGTTGGAGAGAAGGGAATGGATATAAAAGATATTTGGGGGGAGAACAAATGTGAATCTTAAAATGCTGCTATCCATCTGAACCCTCCTGTAGGGGAGAGGATGCACTTACCAACCCATTTCATTATTTGTGCCCACTTGATGTTTTCCATTGTGTATTAATACATTGACATTCTGGTTTATTAGGAATGGCAGAGCTTTGAGGTATCTTACTGAATGTTGTAAATGCTACAAAATTTCTCTTGTATTTTGGTAGTGCTCAGCTTAAAATCATAGATAGGATGAAACTATATTCCCAGGAATCCTGGAAATTCATTGGAACAGATTGATTTGATTATTGGCCAAGTTCTTTGATTTGTTCCCATAAGGAAGTAGGAATAGATGCTTAGTTACAGAAGCAGGTGGGAAGTCGTCCTCCCTACCTCTATGATTTTGCCACTCCAGTAGACTTAGTTTGTTGTGCCTGTGACATCTATATAAGCCTAGAAAATTGCTCATACAGGCTGAGTTATATTGGCTTTTAAAAAATTTATAGACTCTTTTAAAGTCTGATTGGTTAAGTTAATTGGTTCATATATGTTATGCTCTTAGTTATCAGGTGTGAATTATTCTTCATGGAGAATAAAACATTAAACAGTTTTTAGAAACTTGGTCTGTTCTGTCACCTAATACATTATTGGGATCTCCTCCGATAAGGTTTACACAGAAAACGTAAACAGCCTGCCATCATCATCCCATAGTCAAAGGTAAAGGGTTATTGGTGTTCCTTTGATGTGACGTGCCACCACTCCTCTTTTTATACAGTAACCTAGAGTTGAAGCCCATAGTTTTTCCCAAGTTCTGCCACTAGTTGAGAGGCCTTGGTTAGTTGAGAGACCTTTCTGAGCCTCCCCTGTAAAACAGAATCTCATCTGTGTTGTGAGGCTTAGCTGAGGAAATGCATGCACAATGTCTCACACATAATAAACATTCAATAAAAGGCAGCAGCTGCTGCTCTGCCATTCAGATGGTCCACAGATTTTGGGGCACCAAGAAAATCAGTCCCCAGGGAGAGATTTGAAGGTATAAAAACCTAGAACTGTGTACACCTGGATAGCTTTTTGGTTTGGGCAAAAGAATGGAGTAAACTGGTATCATCCTCAGGAAAGATTAGCAGAGCCCCTGCGCATGACATGCAAATTGATGAAGCATTCCATATTTTTAGGGCTGTACAGTAGGTCCTCGGGTTAGGTCGGCGATCTGTTCCTACGGTGCGACGTAACGCGATTTTCGTCGTAAGTCGGAACCCACCTACATAAGCACCTAGTCACTCACATGGAGCACATACACAGCAGTAAGGAAGTGAAACAGCAAAAACAATTTAAAAGAAAGATAACAATTCCTGACCTTTACTTGTGGTAAATAATAAAAAACATAAAGCACATATGTACATACGTCGAAATGACGAAACTTTTTTTTTTATATAAATAAATGGGAGATGGCGACGTAACCACGAAAGGACGTACATCGAGTCCGACATAACCCGAGGACTGTCTGTAATATTAAACTTTAAAAAAAATGTATCATCCTTTTCCTGTCTCTTTTCACTTAAAGACCTTTTAAGATTTGTGTTGGCATCAAAGGGCAGAGAACTTTACAATCCCAAACTATGATAAACTCTGCAGTATAAACCATAAACTTGCCAGATGGTTGACATGGATTTTTCTGAGAAAGACTGCAATTAAATAGTAAGAAATCACTATTTACAATGTTAGAGCAATCTATATACTATTCATTAGATGATTTTTATTGTCTCATTTACTTAGGGAATGTTATTTGCTTGCATATTTTCACCTAGTAAAGCTCTTGTTATTGGGCTTTATTCCTTATAAACTTGTCTTTCTGTTTTGGAAAATTAATGTGAGAGATACCTTGATTCAAAACAGGGAATTTAGATAGTGGAATATTTTTAGTCAAGATTCTCAGGTTAAGATTATTACTCAAACTTTTCTTTGTAGTAAAGTAGTTCAACATAAAGTAGATAGAGTATCCATTTATGAATCTTTAACAAAAATTATTAACCAATTACCATGTGCCAAGCATTTTGCTAGATTCTAAGGAAATTAAGAAGAAGATATTGTCCTTTCTCTGGGAGGGTTATCAGCTGGGTGGAGGGATGAGATTTGGTGAGAGAGATCTATAAATAGATAAACTAGAACACAAGAAGACAGATACGCTACCTGAGATGTGAGTAAAGGCTTTGGAGCATTGATGGCCTAGGTAAGGTGGGGGAAGAGTATTTTAGGAGCGGTGATATTTGAACTAAGTAGGAATTTGGCAGGCAAGAAAATGGAAGATATACATTCCCGGACACCTATTTTTGTTGTAGCATATAGGTGTTTTGTGTGTTTTTTAAATCTACCATGGTTTAAAATGGTTACTAGCCATTAAGATGATGATTCTGATAGAACCTCTGTGCATAAAAACATAGCTAAAACATGATTATCACTTTTTTCACTTTGCACATAGTTCTTTTTACTAGGTGTTTGAGTATATAGGCTAATTTATATCTAATTTAGAAAATGTCATAAATATACATTGATTGTAATACTGGTGCTCACAATAACTGGTTAAATTAGAAACTCATCACGTTTGATTTTCATATAATGAAGAAGTATAAATGCAGAATGAAGGAAGTTATAAGTGATGGCAAAGATAAAAATTAAGTCATGAATAGTTACTAAATATTTCTCATTAAAATTATAAAAATTCTAAATTTTATCTTTAAGGGAGTTTTATTAAACACTAGGAGCCCAGTGCGCTATTCGAAATCATGTGGTGCCGCCCACCCTTGAGTCGCCAGTCTGGCCCTGCCTCCCTCTCCGGCCCTTGAAGCAGCCATGGCTGCTGCTGATCAGGCCCTCCCCCAGCACAGGCCCATGGAGGCTCCTGCCACCCCACCCCCAGTGCTGCGCGCACAACCTCCTCCTGTCCGATCAACCTGTTATAGCATCCTGGTTAATTAGCATGTTTCTCTATTATAGATAGATAGATAGATAGATAGATAGATAGATATAGATAGATTGCAACTGTATTTTGTTTTAAATGTCCTTTTGAGTGTTTGTGTCAAGGGTAGTAATGAATGTTTTAAAATTGTTTTTTAGAAACATTTTTACACATTTTTAATACATTATCCCTTTAGAATAAGACTTAATTTTGTACAAACAGAAGATATTACTTTTTCTCCCACCCAAACAGAAAAATGATGAGCAGTTTTTGTTCTAATAAACCAGTGATGGCAAACCTATGACATGTGTGTCAGAGGTGACACGCGAACTCATTTTTTTGGTTGATTTTTCTTTGTTAAATAGCATTTAAATATATAAAATAAATATCAAAAATATAAATCTTTGTTTTACTATGGTTGCAAATATCAAAAAATTTCTATATGTGACACGGCACCAGAGTTAAGTTAGGGTTTTTCAAAATGCTGACACGCCGAGCTCAAAAGGTTCGCCATCACTGTAATAAACAAACTTAAAACATTTATTTCTTTTCCTAATAGAATGTTATTTAGCTAAAATTATTTTTTGTGTTGATTGGCCTTGAAGTACAATTTAGAGGTACTTTGGAGTAATAAAATAATTTATTTCATTGTGCTCTGAGGTACTTGAAAACCAAAATTTTCAAATAATCATAAACCCAAACTCGGTAGACAATATGTAAGTTTTTGTTTGCCACTGCAAACTTGGTCTATGGCCTAATTTTTTACTAAGGTTTTATAAATTGGTATAATAATAATAAAAGCTAACATTTATTGAGCTCTTACTGTGTGCTAGGCACTGTTCCAAGCTTTTTGCATGAACTCATTCCATTCTCACAGCCATCTATTCTCTTACCTTTTCTCTTACCAGAAAGTTGAGGCACAGAGTGGTTAAGATGCCCACGGTCATAATAGCTTACGTGGCAGAGACTCGGAGTTACTGAGGCTCATAACCTCTGTATTTTCCTGACTCTCAGCATACTGAGCTTTCATTGTCTAATACAGTTTGAAGTAGTGAAGGTCAGTAAATTTAAGTAAAGGATCCTCAACTAATCCCATAGTGGTTCAACCTTTAGTGTGCTTACGTAAAGAGATTCTGATTCGTGGGGCTGAGAACGTGCATTTTAAATAAGCACCCAGGCGGTTCTGACTGTACTTTGAGCTACACCGATCTGGTTGGAATACAGTCCTCACAGCTCATTTCACATGAAGGCTTGTTGTCATTTGTGTGTGTATGTTAGGCCATTCTTTGCAAATATCTGTGTTCCAGCGTGAGTCTTAAATACATACTCTATCTAAATTTATACCTCAAGTGCCTGCACTACTAGTCACATATATTGTGTTGAGACTAGCTATCAGCAGAGGGATTTCTTTAAGAAAACATTTCGGCTCCGGCTGGTGTGGCTTGGTTCAGCATTGTCCCGTGCTTCAGAGTCACCACTTAGATTCCACATCAGGGCACACGCCCACGTTACAAGTCCCGTCCCAGTAAGGGGGTGTTTCTTTCTCACATCGATGTTTCGCTCTCTCTCCTTCTGCCTTCTCTCTCTCTCTAAAAAAAACCCCAAACAAATAAAAAAAATTAAAAAAATATTTTGAATGAGCTTCAGAATAGGGTTTGATCTGAGAAAATTGTTGAGGTGAATATAAGATCTGTAGTCAGAAGAAAATAAGCATGACGTAACATTTCTGCCCTACTGTTTTTGTGTGTGTGAATTTGTTTTCTGTTTAGAAGAAAACATGTATGTACATTGCACTTCACCAAGAGCAGTAGTTCCATGATCTGGGTTATCCAGAATATTCACTGTAGGCAAGGAGGGGTCTTCTCTCTTAAGTTTGGTAAGAAACTTTTGCCCATTGGTACTACCAAGAACCCTGATATGTGTGTTTTAGAATATAGCAAAAAACACTAAACCTTGTAGTTTTACTACTTCAGCATCTTAATTGTATCTTGAACTGGCAAAAATATGTTGTTGTTGTTGTTTTTAGGGTGTTACAAATCACATTGAGCCAAAAAACGTCCGGTGTTTTCTTCAGCTACAAACAAAATGAACATCCCAGTGCTGCTCCATCCTCACCAGTGCTTCCTGAAAGGCCTTTTGCGAACACCTTTCCGACGTTACCACTTCATCTTGCACTCAAGAACTCATCTCGGGTTAGGAGGCCCATGTGCTCGGTCATCTGATTCTCTTGGACTTCCTTGTACAAAGTGGATGCTGCTGTCCAATGGTTTAAAGAGACAGTTATGTGTACAAACAACCTTAAAGGAACATACAGAAGGACTTTCTGATAAAGAACAAAGACTTGTGGATAAACTTTATACTGGTCTAATCCAAGGGCAAAGGGCCTGCTTAGCAGAGGCCATAACTCTTATAGAATCAACTCACCACAGGAAAAAAGAGCTGGCCCAGGTGCTTCTTCAGAAAGTGTTGGTCTACCACAAAGAACAAGAACAATTAAATAAAGGAAAACCACGGGCATTTCGAGTGGGTCAGTCTTTTCTTTTCTTTTTCTTAATCTGTCCAGGAAATATTTTTCTAAGTTTTCTCTTAAAAAAAAAAAGTCTAAATAATTTGCGTTCTAATGGGGATTTTTGTTCTTTTCAGAATTTTGTTAGGATTTTTTTTTTTTGTCTAAAGTTTTATATATGTCTCCTTTTTCCCCACTTGACCCCCCCACCCCCTGTAGCCATTCCCACCCTTGGCAAGCCCCCACTGCCCCAGTGTCTATGTCCATTGGTTTTGCTAATATGCATGCATACAAGTCCTTTGATTGCTCTCTACCCCACCCCACCCCCGCTCCCCTGCCATTTGTCTCTGGATCTATTCTTGTTCATTAATTTATGTTGATCATTATATCCCACATATGAGTGAGATCACGTGCTATTTATCTTTCTCCAACTGGCTTATTTCGCTTAGCATAATGCTCTCCAGTTCCATCCATGCTGTTGCAAATGGTAAAAGTTCCTTCTTTTTTATAGCGGCATAGTATTCCATTGTGTAGATGTACCACAGTTTTTTAATCTACTCATCTGCTGATGGGCACTTAGGTTGTTTCCAAATCTTAGCTATTGTAAATTATGCTGCTATGATCATAGGGGTGCGTATATCCTTTCTGATTGGTGTTTTTGTTTTCTTGGGATATAGTCCTAGAAGTGGGATTACTGGGTCAAATGGGAGTTCCATTTTTAACTTTTCGAGGAAACTCCATATTGTCTTCCACAGTGGCTGCACCAGTCTGCATTCCCACCAGCAGTGCACGAGGGTTCCTTTTTCTCCACATCCTCTCCAGCACTTGTCGTTTGTTGTTTTGTTGATGATAGCCATTCTGACAGGTGTGAGATGGTATCTCGTTATTTTGATGTTAGGAATTTTAAATGTTTTTTCACTGTAAATATTAGTCTTGGTATATTGAAAAAAGGATTTCTGGCCATTTGAACCAGGCTCTGTATTTTAAAAGAATAACAAGGCCCCGGCCAGGTGGCTCAGTTGGTTGGAGCGTCATCGCATACACTGAAAGGTCGTGGATTCGATTTCCAGTCAGGGCACATACCCAGGTTGCAGTTTTGATCCCCAGTCAGGGTGAGTAAGGGAGGCAACCAATTGATGTCTCTCTCACACATCAGTGTTTCTCTTTCTCTCTTAAAAAAAAAAAAAGAATAATATAAGTTTTCTATTGGCAAGAATTTTGTTATGTCTCCCACACAGAAATATGAATAGGAAGAACTGTTACCTAGTTTATTTCTTTGTCTCGGTAGTCCTTCTGCTTACTAGTCTAGAGTGAATTCCCAATTTTTGTGGTTATATCAATTATAATCCATGTCACATTTTAAAACTCTACTTCTTGGCTGTTTCATTGGTCTTTCTAGAGGCAAGTCTCACTTCTCTCAGACACTTTTGTTAGAGTTTCTGGGAGTGGTTTGCCTCCAAGCACAACCATCTCATTACCAAAATGTATTTTAAAGGGGAGACCATATTTATTTGCTGTCTAAAAATATTAAATGTTCACTTGATTTCTTAAATAGTTGACTTGTTTCTGTAATTGCATATAAGCTTGTTGTATTTTTGAAATTGTGCATTTTAAAAACAATTTAGATATGTTTAACCATTAGGAATTAAGCAAGTCAGTTTTGGGTGGCATGAGAGCTGTTCATGATGGCAAACTAGGTGATTCCAACCAACCTCTCACTAAAAACAATTCACAGTGTTGGGCAAAGTGCAGAGATTTTGTGAGGAATGAGTAAGTATACTTAAAAATTGACTGACATTACACTTTTATGTTTCAGTTTATTGGTGATATGGGGACGAAAACCTTTTAATTTTTAGGGTAACAGGGCATAAATGCTTTAAAGATAATTTTAAAAGGATTGTTACTTTTCACACGTCTTACATCTTATTCTTCTGCCCTCACTGAGAATACTACACAGGGTGTTAATAATCTTTATGCAGACAAACTAGCAAACTCCCAAAGAAATTTTAATGCTGACAAAGTATTTCTCTCTTAGGCTTTAAAGAGTCTTTGAAGAAAAAATGTCCCAGAAATATATGGTGTTAACCAGTAACCACACATGACTGGCAACTTGCCATTTCTCAGTGCCTTTTGGGTTCTTCCATTTTGCTCTTGTGAGGTCGCATAAACCTGTGTCTTTGTTGCAGTGACTTTATTCCCATTATAAATAACAGCAACAAATGTTTATTGAGCACCCATAGAGAGGTTTAAGACAGAGACCTGCCCTGAACCAAGCATACTATGTATGCATACATACTTTTGAATATAGTTACAATTAAATGCTTATGTGTTATATACTTTATTGAACATCCACTTATATATCTTTTACTTTATGCCATGAGCTGTTTTAAACATATTGTCAATATTAACTCACCTAATCCTTATAACAACCTGAAGGGATAGGTGCTGTTATATCCATTTTATTGCAGCACATCCTTATGTACGGAAGAGTTAAGTAACTTACCCAAGATTACATAGCTCATCAAAGGCAGAACTAGAAAGAGAACTGGCGAGTGGCTCCTGAGTTTGTGCCCTTACCTGCCATGCTTTACTCACTCTCCAAGTAGGGGAATTTCCCCTCTCTCTACCTCTCTCCCACGTTCCCTCCCACCCTCCTTCCCTTCCTTCCTTTTATTCAGTAAATATATATTTTTATTTAAGTGTAGTTGGTTTACAATCTTATAGTAGTTATAGTAGTTTCAAGTAGTTATATTAGTTTCAGTGTAGTGATTCAACATTTTTATACCTTACAGTGTGATCACCCCACTAATTCTAGTAATAATCTGTCATCGTGTAAACTTATCACAATATTAATGGCTATATTCCCCTTTCCCTTTTCACTCATTCCTCCATCCTCTCCCCTCTGGCAACCATCCCTTTGGTCTCTGTTTCTATGAGTCTGGTTTTTTGTTTGTTTGTTTGTTTTTTAGTTTTGTGTGTGTTTTTTGTTGTACTTTTTTTTTTTTAATTCCACATGTAAATGAAACCATACAGTGTTTGTCTTTTTCTGCCTGACTTATTTCACTTAGCATAATACCCTCTGCCTTTCTTAAGACAAATAATTATTTTCAGGATTCAGTTTATATTATACTAGAGGCCCGGTGCACAAAATTCGTGCACTAGGGGCGGGGGGGGGGTGGGTCCCTTAGCCCAGCCTGCGCCCTCTTGCAGTTCAGGAGCCCTCAGGGGATGTCTGACTGACGGCTTAGGCCCGCTCCCTGCCAGCAGTTGGACATCCTTAGCACTGCCGCGGAGGCTCCTGCCACCACTGCTGTGCTCGCCAGCTGTGAGCCCAGCTTCTGGCGCACTGACCACCAGGGGGCAGCTCCTGCGTTGAGCATCTGCCTCCTGGTGGTCAGTGTGCATCATTCTGCCATTTGGGCGATTTGCATATTGGCCTATTATTATATAGGATTCTTTGAATTATGGGCGAGATGGGAAAAATTTATAAGTAGAAAATTATTTTCTCAATCACTAGCAATTCCTAGAGTAATGCGTTATTTTTTCTAATGGGAAGATAAAGTGTACAGAATATGGGTAGGTGTAATAACTACTGATCATGATGAGAGGTAGGCAGATGTTGTAGAAGTTCAGCACATTAATAACATAGGTGATGAAGTCTGTTCCAAAGATCTACTTTATAGTAAAAAGTAGATCACATTTTGTAATTTTAAAAAGCGAATTTGGGGCACATGGGGAACTCAGAATGGTTTCCTTCCTATATCTCTATTACTTAGGAACTAGATAGATAAATGGATTTTTGTTTACTGCTTTCGGAAATGTTAAAATACAATAATGGTTTTAATAAATTAGGAGACACAGAAGGAAGTTAACATTTTAATAGAAATCATCATTTATTAAATCAGAAGATCTCTTTCACTGTAGGATTATCTGGGCCCCCTGGTGCCGGAAAATCAACCTTTATAGAATATTTTGGAAAGATGCTTACTGAGAGAGGGCACAAATTGTCTGTGCTGGCTGTGGACCCTTCTTCTTGTACCAGTGGTGGTGAGTATTGCCAACTCTTCTTAAATTGCAGAGCAGGAGCTTGGGGGGCTCCTTGTTACAAGTTAGTGGGAATTGGCACAGTCAGGTGACTTCTACCCTCAAGCTGAGTTTGGCCTCACTGAAGGAAGGGAGTTCTGGGGGTGAGGTGGAGGCTGAAGGAGGTATTGGGCTCTACAGCCAACGTTAGGCCAGGAGTGGCCTGGGTACTTAGAGAACTAGGAGAACACTGCCGCAAGTTGAAGATAATTAAAAGCAAATTTCATCTTTGTTTATCACGCCTGAGGCTGGGCCCCTCTTCCCTCCTGTTTTTCTTGGCTGCATCAGCTTCTACACAATTCAGAAAATGGGTCCTTCCTCATTCGTTATTTTCCTCTTATTGTTGTAACATCTCTTAAGCTTAAACACACACACACACACACACACACACAAAAACCTTATAGCTTTATAACTTGTCACCTGTTTACATGACATGTTCAGTTGAACAGAAAGCTCTTAGAGGGCCCATTAGTATCCCACTGTCCCACTACAGCACTTAGCATAGTACACTGCTCACGGTGCTCGCTCAGCAATTACTTACTGATTCGAGGTCATGCAGTCACTCAGTTTAATTTGCAGCTCATCAGAGAAAATGAATAAAGGTAGTTCCCCAAAGGATCATTTAAGGAAAACATAAAGCGTTCTATACAAATAGGAAAGGTTTTTCTTCTCTTACCCCCTATATGATTTAAGCTTCTCACATTACAGTTACCATTGAACAAATATTTCAGTGCTTACTATAGGTGAGGCATTGTGCAAGGAAGTACTGTATCGTCTAACAGTGAATAAGACAGTCCTCCTGGCCTTATGAACTTTATTTCTTATGAGAGAATCACAGGCCATTACAAAGTAGTGTGTGTTGTGAATGGGGAAGTACCGCGTGCTTTGTGTGGAATTGTTTGCTTTGCATTCTGTGGGTTTAAGGCTAAAAAGTAAAGAGGATATAATCGTATTTCTGGGGCTTTAGATTAATAGAGAGGTTGACAACAATTCATGTTGCCACCCATTGAGAAATTTGAGAACATTCACAGTTTTTGATTCACTATAATAAAAGGTTAATTATAAAATAAAATTTATGTTTACAAGGTTCAAGATAAAATTTATATCAATGTAGTGTCTTCTTTATAATCTAAGAATTTTGTTAAAGGTATATACCTGAATGAAGAATTTTTTATAGTGGCCCTCATTTCCATATAGGTGAGAAGACTACCTTTCCCCCCACACCCACCCCCCATAATACTCTAGAATACTTGCAATAGCAAAAGAAAATAATAGCTTGGGCCCTAACCAGTTTGGCTCAGTGGATAGAGCGTCAGCCTGCAGACTGAAGGGTCCCAGGTTCGATTCCGGTCAAGGGCATGTACCTTGGTTGCAGGCACATCCCCAGCGGGAGGTGTGCAGGAGGCAGCTGATCGATGTTTCTCTCTCATCGATGTTTCTAACTCTCTATCCCTCTCCCTTCCTTTCTGTAAGAAATCAATAAAATATATATTTTTAAAAAAGAAAATAATAGCTTGGGGCAATACTAGCAGAAATGGTGACATAAAATAGTCTAATCCAAGTTGCATAGCTATGTGGCTCCTGACCTTTCTCAAACCCAAAATGATGGTCCCTTTCCCAGGTAAAACAAAATATACACGTTGAAAGAAAAAAAATAAACAGAGATACACAGCATACTATAAGTACAGATTTCTACCTCACTACTACAACAGTATACACATTTGAAAAATAGCATTACATTAAGGTTTGAGAAGCAAACCTTGTGCTTTGCATTCACAGACGTCCTGCAGTAGCTTTGAGACCTTCCTAAGGGCCTGCACCCAGCAGTTTTGGATTCACTGGCAAAGACAATTACATGGGAGAGTAATTTCATAATGTGGAGCCAGTGTGTTAGGATCTACAGGATAGTGATTTCAGGTATAGCTTTGGCAGATTGTTGACTTACAGAGAGGATTTCATGCAGAAAATTACTTTAGAAAGAAGTTTCAAGTGCAGTAAATAAGGTAGTTGAGACATGTGGTGAGTCTGTGCTCCAGAATTAGAACCTATGAGAACTCTACATTGGGACCATACGGGAAAAGATCGTGTTTTTAAGCAAGTTCTCAATGTTTAGCATCAACTTTATGTGGGAAAGTTAGCTCTTAGGCAGAGTGAAAATGGAAATTCAGGTTAGAACAGCACTACATTCTCAGATGTTAATATGTGGCTAAAAGAAAGATGTTCAAGGTGATTTCCGTAGTTCCAGAGCTTTCCGTTCTGCAGAATTTGCAAATATTGATGTTTGCCAAAATACTGCAGTAAATCACCATAGGAATTAAATTAATTGCCTACTGTGGACAAGCATTCAGCATACAAAATGTGTAAGACATGCTCCTGTGGGCGGGAGCTGACGTTACAGCCAGGCTTCTCCACCTTGGCACTGACATTCCTGGTGTCAGCAGCTATCCTGCACGTTGCAGGATGCTTAGCAATATCCTGGTCTCTACCCATCCGGTGCCACCAGCACCCTAACCCCCAGTTGTGACAAGTAAAAATATCTCTAGGTATTGCCAAATTTCCTCTGGGGCAAAATCACCCCCAGTTGAGAGCCATAAACATAATGTTAAGATGACAGTAAATAAACCACCCTGGCTGGAATGCAAGGTTGGTTTGGGGCCTAGTGGAAGCTGAAATTGGACAGGCCATGTCAGGCTGAAGAATCTGGATTTGAACTCTAATCCAGGGGTAGGGAATGTTCGGCTCGCATACGGCCCGCGAAATCATTTGGTCTGGCCCTGCCAAGGTATTAGGGGTGGGTTAATTAAATATTTGACCAAATATAGTAGGCTAATTTTTAAGTTGATAATTTTATATGGCCCTTGAATGATGTTATAAATATCCAAATGGCCCTGGGCAGAAAAAAGGTTCTCCATCTCTGCTCTAGTCAGTGGGAAGCCATTATAGGTTTTGAGGGGCTCGAAATGCTAAAAAAATTACTTGGGGAGCATTGTATACACTATGTGGGGGAAAAGCTCAATGATATGAAATACAATTTGAGTTTTGGGGAGAAATGTCATAAAACATTTGGCTCATTGATCACTGGCCCTTATAGGTGTTCCATGATTGTATCTGTGTTTTAGGATCACTCTTGGGGGATAAAACCCGAATGACTGAGTTATCAAGAGATATGAATGCATACATCAGACCTTCTCCTACTAGAGGAACTTTGGGAGGTGTGACAAGGACTACAAATGAAGCTATTCTGTTGTGTGAAGGAGGGGGATATGACATCATTCTTATTGAAACTGTAGGTGAGTGTGATTTTCTGCTTCCTAACAAAATACTGTTCCAGTGAACTCTGTATAAAGATGAGTGACAACTAATTTCATTGGTTATTCAACAGATATTTACTAAGAGCATAATTAAATTCAAGATGTCTCAGACTGTATAGAGATATGAATATATAGGCTATAATCCTGCCCTTAGAGAGAAGAAAATTAAGCCATGTATCTGGATAACTGTTGCACAGGTGATGGGTTATGAGTGTCAGAGGAGACCTGTAAGTGCCAGGATGACCTATGGAAACGGTACTCTAACATGACACCTATTTTGTTTAAGCACAGTTCAGAGGTCTGCAATGTCCACTAACCAAATTATTATAGTTGGGTGCCTGTTGAATACAAGGCCATGGTTACTTCATTTTTATATCCCTATTGCACAATTTTATGTGGTGAAAATACTGAAATAGAAACCCAAGAAATTGACATTCTTGTGGAGAGACCATCTGTTATGTTACTGTGTGATAAACGTTGGTGACATAACCTGATTCAGATTTGGGGTATCAAGGAAGACTTCCAAGAGGAGGTGACAGTTGAACTCAGTCTTGAAGGAAGAATTGGAGTTACATAAAGTATGGGCTAAAGGGCATTTGCAAAGACAGAGGAGCCAGGGAATGTGGCCCATTCAGAGGATGGAAGTGTGCTCAGGGTGCTTAGAGCCGCGAGCATGAAGACTGGATGTGAATAGAGATGGGGCTGGAGGCTAGGAACTCTACCATCTGAGGCTGGATGGAGGGAAAGTTGCCCTAGTGGTAACAGGAGAATCCAGGGAGAAGAGGACCATAAAAACCAAGTGTATGCCCGGTTGGTGTGGCTCAGTAGTTGAGCATCGGACCATGAACCAGGAGGTTATGGTTCAATTCCCGGGCAGGGCACATGCCTGGGTTGTAGGCTCGATCCCCAGTTGTGGGGGGAGGGGGCTCGTGCAGGGGGCAACCAATCATTGTTTCTCTCTCATCAATGTTTCTATCTACCTCTCTCCCTTCCTCTCTCTAAAATAAATACAAATATATTTTAAAAAACCCCAAAACCTCAAAGTTGCATTTGGCTGCTTGTCCTAGAGACTCAAAATAACTGTGATTCAAATGAGAAAGAGGTGTATTTCTTTTGCAAATAAAAGAAGCTTGGAGGCAGGTGTCCTGAGCAGATGTGGGGGCTCTACTGTGCCCTCAATGCCCCATTCTTAGCACTTAGTTCCCAAGGTTGCTCACGGTTCAGAGATGGCTGATGAAGCACTACCTGTCACATCCATGTTCCAAGTGGAAGGAGAAGGGGGAATAAGGAAGGGAGAAGGCAGGCAGAAGAGTGTACACCTTTCCTGGAAACCCCATCTAATGACTTGCTTCCGCTTGTTGATCACCCGTAGCTGAAAGGGGCTCTGGAGAATATGGTCTCTCACCAGGCCCATGGTCTCCTAGTAACACTGGGGCCAGGAAGTAGGGAAGAATAACTGCTGAATGGGCAACTGCAAGTCTGCCACACTGAGGAAGGAGAGAGTGTTGAGAGGGGTTTAATGGAGCGGGGGATGTGGAAGTCCGATGTAAGTGGATTGAGATTAATGTGAAGTAGTTGGATGAAGACAATGAGCATGTATTGCAGTGGTTCTCAACCTTGGCTGCACATTAGAATCACTTGGGAATCTTTTTTAAATCCTGATTTCTGGGCCTCTCCTCCGGAAATTCTGTTTCTTTGTTACGGGGTGATTTTAAAAAGATTCCCAGGTGATTCTAATGTGCAGCCAAGGTTGAGAACCCCTAATGTATTGCTTCCCCGTCCCCCCCCCCCCCCTAGAAATTTAGCTCTAAAGAGAAGGTGGGAAATCTGGTGATGATTGGAGGAG